AACCTAGCCAAGGCTGTGACATTACCAATAGTGTAGAAAATACCACACATAATAAGTTTAAACTAACCTAGCCAAGGCTGTGACATTACCAATAGTGTAGAAAATACCACACATAATAAGTTTAAACTAACCTAGCCAAGGCTGTGACATTGCCTATAGTGTAGAAAATACCACACATAATAAGTTTAAACTAACCTAGCCAAGACTGTGACATTACCAATAGTATAGAAAATACCACACATAATAAGTTTAAACTAACCTAGCCAAGACTGTGACATTACCAATAGTATAGAAAATAACAAACAAAATAGGTTTAAACTAACCTAGCCAAGGCTGTGACATCACCTATAGTGTAGAAAATACCCGTTTAAACTTATTTGTGTTAACCTAGCCAAGACTGTGACATTACCATAGTGTAGAAAATACCGTTTAAACTTATTTGTGTTAACCTAGCCAAGACTGTGACATTGGCAATAGTATAGAAAATACCACACATAACAAGTTTAAACTAACCTGGCCAAGGCTGTGACATCACCTATAGTATAGAAAATACCACACATAATAAGTTTAAACTAACCTGGCCAAGGCTGTGACATCACCTATAGTATAGAAAATACCACACATAATAAGTTTAAACTAACCTGGCCAAGGCTGTGACATTGCCTATAGTGTAGAAAATACCGAACAGAATTAAACCGTTTCTCAAGAAAAGGCATAGAGAACCCTAAAAACATAAAAGAAATTGTTTATTAGAAATATGTTTCAAATCCTTCTATTTTGAGAAGAGAATCTAATATTGTTCCAACATGTTTATATTTACAATTACATATTTCTGAATTAACAGCCTAAAAAGAACTAAAACTGGAAAAGAGTTAAGATGGAACAGAAAGTTTAATTTTTTAGTAATAATTTAAATGTATACATAAGATATGGTTATAATTAATACTATATTGTTTATATTCTTATACATAAAACACTGTTAATATCAAATGTCCAAAATATTTAGTATTTTTCCACAAATTTCAAAATATAAACTGAAATTTTCACTTGCCTAACTAAAATTTTTGATAAAACAAATATTTTTATAATAACTGGAAAAAATTTAGAAACAAAAACTTAAAAACAGAGAAAATAAATCTTGAGTTTATTATCAATATCAAGTTAACCATTTTCATTAACAAGATCTTAGTTTATAATCAATATCTAGGTAACTGTTTTCATTCACAAGATCTAAGCTTATTACCAGTTTTTTTTTTACCTACGAGACCTATAATTCTTCAGTTTTAAAATTTTTGATAAAAATAAATTTTCAGTAGTATCTGAACATGGCAAACTACAACTAATCATGATGTTAGAAAAACATGTGGTTGAAGATATCAATTTAACACAAAAATATGATTCCCTATGATCTGAGAACATCCCAAAGGTGGACTTTTCTTCTTGAGGGGCAGAACCAAGTATTAACTTAACGTACTAATCCGCAGTATCATAAAACAAAACTTGTAATATACAAACTATAAAATTAGATGGGCCCTGTCAGGATATAAAGATTGTTTAGTGTAAGGATTATTAATTAATTTATTTTGTGAGAGATTATTTCATAATTGTTTAGTTGTTTTTTTTTTTTATAATAAGAGAATTAAAAGCAGATGATTATTGGAAGTTGTGTTTATAATTCATTGATGTTGAGAATATAGAGATTTATAGAAGGTGAGTAGACAATTAAGTGATAAATATGTAGTGTGAGATGAGCGGGAATAGCAAGCAGACAGAGCAGACAAGAGACCAGAAATCGGGAAGAGAGCCAAAAGTAAAGTGGAGTGAAAGAGTTTTGATCAGAGAAAGGTTAGAAGATGTATAGTTAACTATCATAGGAGTGAATAGTCTAACGGTTGATATACTAAAGTGAGATTTACAGTTTTTTGAAATTTTAGGAGAATAATTTGTCTTGTCAAAAAATATTCTAAAGCAACTGAACCTGCCTGTGTGGACTTTGACAAATAGATGACGATTATTTGGAAGTAGGCCTAAATACAAAAAAGGAAATGAGTATCGGAAGTTTGGGATACAACTGCAGTAACTCCACGAGGCAGCAAAAGTGAATTATGCACTGATACTGTTATGATAAAAGAAGAAAAAGAGAGAGAAGAAAAGGAATAAGTGAATTATACACTGATAGTGTTTAAGATTAAAATAGAGAAAGATAGTTTGGCTTGTCAACTGAATTCTAAAGCAATTGAATTGGCCTAAGTGGACTTTTGACAAGAAGAAGAAAACTGTATAGTATTTAAGATATAACTATGATAAAAATAGTGTAAAGAATATTTGTACATACGTTTAACTTGTTTTGAATATATTATTTTAAAACAAGTGGAGTGCATGATGTTCATTTATCGTTGAATATATTGCCAACAAATCACAGACATCTACTGTAGAAGAATCCTAAGCCCAACAACATACCAATATACTTACTTTAATATACAAACTAAAAACTAAATAGCCCTTGATAAGCATCCTTGCTATAATAAATATTTAATCTTTGTTATCTCATTAAGTTCAGGCAGCTACGGAAATTTAGGTTTGTCCTAAGTCCTTATACTAAGCTAGAAGTCAAAATAATCCTCAAAGTAAAAATTATATAATAAATAAATGAAAAATAATCTCTCTCTCTATGTATATATATATAAAGATGAAATGTGTGTGTGTTTGCACCCTAACTCCTTCAAGCCTACTGCACCAAACTCAACCAATTAACCCTATTTCTATTTTGTAAAGCTTGTTGGTTAATTACTCCCAACCTATAGAGTCAATCTCAAGGAATCTTGGCAAGTTGACACTTTGACAAAGTTCAATATTCTAAAGCGATCTGAGGTCAAAGTATGAAAGTTGCTGGATTGTTTCTCAACCAACGATGCTTTTCTCATGGTCAAGAAGATATAGGGTGTTCAAGGGTGGGATCACCTCAAAATCTTTACTTGTTAGTAGATGGAAAGCAAACTGTAAATGTTGTTTATGAAGAAGCTTTGTTATAATTTTAAAATTTTGAGATAAAGTTTATCTTCAAGTTATTACTTTGAAACATACGATGTTAAACTTACATTGTTTTAATTAAGTTTAAACATTCCCCATCAGTTGATGGGTATTTCAGCTTGTAAAAAATATATTATAAGCCAGTAAATGTTTTCTTTTGGTAAAGAAATGTGGCAAAGAGATTGTTTATTTCGTTTACTTGGATGTCTAAGAAAGTTAAGTTATTGTTTTCTTTCATCATACATGGATGTTGTGAGTTTAGGTATTATACATAGAAGGTACGTTGATGATATTTTTTTACTCTTTCAGAACACTGATCATGTCTCGGTTTTAGAATACCTAAACTCAACATCAATGTATAAACTTTGTATATAAGAAAACAATAACTTACATGTAAACAAAATAAACAGTCTTTTTGCCACATCTCTTTATCATACAAAAACATTTACTGGCTTATACACTCATTTCAACAGTTTCGTGCCAGACTCCTTCAAATGTATATTATATATACATTAAATATTTTAACCAATGATGTCAATGAAATTAAGATTAAAGCAAAAATATGATATGACTTTCCTAACAAGACCCTTAAAAACAATGTTTGATTCCTGTATCATCACCAATTACTTGAAAAGCATGACATCAGTATTCTGAGAGACTATATTATATAAAACAAAACCAAGGATATTTGTCTAACAATGTTTTCCTATAGTTATCATAATTCTATATGTAGGTAATACTGGTGAAGTTTACTGTATAAGTGACTTTTACTTATCTGCTTCAGAATTCTATTGTTCTAAACAAGAACAGGAAAATATTCTATGACAGAGTCAAGGTCATAGTTATGACAACAGCACCAGTCATCATATGATGACACTATAATCAAGTTAGGGAGTACTTTGTGCTATCTACAAATGATATCAAGATTAACAGCTTTATAAGTACAAATCAAGTAATGTATACCCTTGAAAATGACATCGAAACTAGTCAGGGTAATCATCTTCATATTTTGTGGTTGTTCTTCGTTACTTAATTTGTGCTTACAAAACTGTTAATCTTTACAACATGATGACACTATAATCAAGTTAGTACTTTGTGCTATCTACAAATGATGTAAAGATTAACAGCTTTATAAGTACAAATTAAGTAATGTATACCCTTGAAAATGACATCGAAACTAGTCAGGGTAATCATCTTCATATTTTGTAAATTTGTGGTTATTCCTCGTTACTTAATTTGTGCTTACAAAACTGTTAATCTTTACAACATGATGACACTATATTTAACCTAATAATAACAAAAATATAGAAGAATGCTCATTTCCTTCAGACTTCATCATAAATACAAGAAATTAAATGTAAAGGTATTTCGGGGAGAATGTTTCGAACATTTCTCATCCGAGGATGTATGATCACCCTACAGTAGAAGTAAAACCTTCATATAATACTCTCTAACAATGTCTACGAAAACAAATAGTTGTGACTACGTAACTTTAGGGCAGACATCCAAGATAAATGTAACTATGCTAGTGTTTAAATATAGTCAGATAGAGGATTCATATAGATAGTACAACAACAAACTGACGTTTATATGGATTGTGTCAAGAACAAACTAAATTAATAAGGAAATGGTGCACTCTATACATAGGTGATCAAACGTAGTTCCTTTGAAATGTTACAACTGTTCTGTATTACACAGTAAATATTTAATCTCAACACCTTATATGGATTATGACAAGAACAAACTAAATTAATAAGGAAATGGTGCACTCTATACATAGGTGATCAAACGTAGTTCCTTTGAAATGTTACAACTGTTCTGTATTACACAATAAATATTTAATCTCAACACCATGAAAAAAAACTTCATTCTTTTGGTTTCGTGTATTGGTTAAAAGTGTATTTTTTTCATCACATGAAATAATTTTGCAGCAGTGGTTTAGAAAAGTTTAGTCCTCCGGGTATGAAACCATCAGTAGTATAGAGATATGGTCATAAAAACAGTTGTTGAACACTAACCAGTATAGAAAAAATAAATCCCAGCACAAAACAAATGATAAATCCTCGGATTCTGGTTGACCAGCTGAGAGAGGACGCATCTCGTATCTGCAAAAAAATAAAGGAATTTTAGGTTTCCTAGAGCTTGTACATGGTAAAAGTTAAAGTATCCAACACCAGTATACCAACAATAGCTGTAGTGTCTAACCTCTCATTACAAAAATGTGTATGTAATGTAGAACAAACCAACCATTCTTAACAACTAACTGATATATATATATAAAACACTGAATAAAACCTTGCAAAACTATAAAGCCATGTTGGTCATTTGAGAATTTATTTTAAAAGTAATAAATGTTAATAAGTATCTCATAAAATAGACCCAAAATTGGCTTTCCAAAAATTAATTAAACTTTATCTCAACATGTATCAAAACATCTGCCATAATTGTATCAATGATCACTCGTTTCCAAATATTCCCACATCTTCATCAATGGTTAACAATAAACCTAAAATGGCACCCCTCTGGTTGATTCCATTACCGTTTAATAGCAACACACAGACAACAAGAAACCATTAGGTTCTTCATGACTGTCACTACACAACTACCACTGAGAAAAACAAAAACAACTTAAGTTTTACAGAAACGATCAATTCCCCTCTTCAGACTCTTGTAAGGTGCAAGCTTCAATTACTTCCTATCACAACTAATTTCAACAAAATAAAACTTTTAACTGGAGCCTAGCCTATTTTTTCAACTCTAAAACTAGTGTTCTATCTTCCTGTTGTCTAAATATAGTGTAAGGACATCAGAGGACTTCATCTTATCAGGCTCCTGAATAATCTTGTAAACTTCAATAGCATCACTTCTTAACCTTCTTTTATCACCCTTCCGAGTCATTTCAAGAAACCCCCTGCTTGACTCTACAATCCCAATCAGTTTCTCCAAACTTAGTCTTTCATGACTATTGCATCAGTGTCATTAGTTTATTAGAAACAACACTAATCTTATTATACAATTTCTCAATGGCATTATCTGTCTATCTAATCATGTGGCGTATAGTTATTTGTCAATTAAAAACTTTCTCTAATTGAAACCTCTGATTGTAACCCATACAGGTTTGACCTTTAGACTGCTACTGATTGTAATCCATACAGGTTTGACCTTTAGACTGCTACTGATTGTAATCCATACAGGTTTGACCTTTAGACTACTACTGATTGTAATCCATACAGGTTTGACCTTTAGACTACTACTGATTGTAATCCATACAGGTTTGACCTTTAACTACTACTGATTGTACTCCATACAGGTTTGACCTTTAGACTACTATTGATTGTAATCCATACAGGTTTGACCTTTAAACTACTACTGATTGTAACCCATACAGGTTTGACCTTTAGACTACTATTTTCTTATGTGCACTTATTTTTACCAAAATTGAGACCCAAGGGTACCCAAATTGGCCAAAATGCAGTGAAACTTTCTACACCATTTTGATGTCGTATCTCAACAGGCTGAAACTCTTCCACTAGTATCACTTACTTTACTTTTTTAAAATATCAACTGAAATTTCAAAATAATTCCTATTATAGATTTTCTCCAAATACGTGTGTATGAAATGATCTCTCATGGACATCTTTGCAACTAACATGTAGATCATGTATTAATATTACATTTTTTGCAAGATATTTAAATTAAAAAAATACATAATCACCATACAAATGAAAGAAAGGATGAAGAACTTAGATGAGCCTAGAATTTAAAATTTAATTTTATGAGTGGGCTAGTAGTACTGAAAATTGAGAAATATTATCCAATTTAAGATGAATATCTTATGTGACATATATTAGCTTCCTCCTATGTTGTACAAATGTTTCCAAATTTCTGTATTTTCATTCAATCTAGTTTGGACATTCAAGTTAGCAACCAACTTTCTGTTTCTCAGGTGCACCCAAGACATGAATTCACTAATTGATAATTAACAGTTTTACTCAACTTTCTGTTTCTCAAGTGCACACAAGACATGAATTCACTAATTGATAATTAACAGTTTTACTCAACTTTCTGTTTCTCAAGTGCACCCAAGACATGAATACACTAATTGATAATTCACAGTTTTTACAGAAAAAAATTGCTCGCAATGTGGCAAGAGGGATGGTTGCCTTTTCTGGCAGTGAATAAGATAGTGGTTAGAAGTAATCAGATCATTGCTCAGAATTTTTCATTGTACCTAGTAAAAACACTCTTGGATGCATAAGCAGGAATACACACAAATTTGATGATCCATCTGGAGCGAGGAACCTGTATTATTACGCAGAAAAACAGGACCAATAAACTTCATAAATGCTACAATTTTCACTGTTTTCAATAAAATTGTTTTACTGTAATCAAGTTTCATGTACTGAAATATATTTGTGTTACAAAAACTAGAAATAACCAATGATTCAACTCTTTATAAAAGTAGTCCCTACCTATATATAAACAACACATTCACAGAAAAGGGCATGCATATAACAACTTCTATCTTGTCATATCCTTCTCATGAAATATGTATGTTAAGTAAGGTATTTCTGATATCTTTAGTGCTATTCTTTTAGTTATTAGAGCAATTTAGTAATGTTTCATTTCATGTTATGAAGCTAGTTTTCTTTTGCACTTGTTTTAGTTAAAAAAATTCAACTGATTATTACAGCTTTAGTTTAGTTTTGGTTTTTTCTTTCAACTTTCATGCTGGCACTGTAATTCATCTAGCTAATGTAAGCTTTGAGTTAACATCTGAGTGATGTGATTGAAAGTAGTCCAAACATGGTCTCCAATTACATGTGAGAAAGTTTTTTATTAAGCAAGAAGGAAAAGTACAAGTAATGTTCTGACTGGGCTAGGGCTATTATGCCCTTGCACTCAGATGGCAATGGACAAAAATATAGTTTGCAAACCTGGATTTGTTGATGTTAATATCTGGTATAAATATGAAGTCAGGTCTGTCCCCTAAGAGTAACTTTTAACTTAAACTTTTGCTGGGTTGCAGCCTTACCTTTTAACATTTTGATTTCAACTTTTAGCTATTACCTTTTAGCTTAACTGTGTATTATTGCAGACTTTAGCTTTTCAAGAAGTTAGAGTTCAGTTTTTGCTTAAGGTGTAGTTTAAGCATTATACTTTTAAACTTAACTTTAGATTATATCATTTAGTGTAATTTACAAGAGGAACACACCGGACTGGTAAAAAAATATCTAAAAGTTCCTTCACTTGTAAGTTCAGCACAAACACAATAAACATTACATTTTGTGTTTGTTTTTGATTTTGTTGTAATAAAAAAATGTGATTTGGGCATTTCGGGTACCATTCTTCTTTGTGCTGAACTCAGTCAAGAGTTCAGAAAAAATACAACACACACACACACACACACATTCAGTAACACGATATCCTCCAAACCTCCAGTTAGCAGGGCCAAACTTATAACTGATTAATCAGGGAAAATTCATGCATTTGAAATATTTGAGGAATACAAATACTAAGAATATACATATTTAAAGGTTTTCAAGAAGTACAATTTATTTTTTATAATGTATAGTAAGGAGAAAATGTTATAAAAGATATGGACACTAGCTAACAAACCACAATACCAAATAAGAAAGATACAGGCTTAAAGATGTCGCATAAGTTAGATCGAGACACATTTCAAGTCGTGACCTCAGACGTGCAAAAATTAGCATGGAATGTTGAGATAAAACCACAATTGTTTATATAAAGCACTTGATGAAATGAATCAATGTCAGAGAACACAGTTAACGGGATGGCGATGAAAGCATGACCTGCAATCCAATTAAATACCTTTGTAACGAGTGAAATGTCAAACCCAACAATTAAGCCCACAAGCTACCCACACACTCAATACACACTGGAAAATACCACATTTTAAATATTATTATGATATATACAGGGCCGGCGCTACCATTAGGCCAACTAGGCAGCTGCCTAGGGCGCAGACCCCAGAGAGGTGCAGTACTGACCCTTAAGGGTCACAGTTTTATACAAATTAGTTGTTTTAAGAAGAAAAATAATAAAAATCTTGTGCTTTTTATTTTTCTACAAAACATCTGTTCTTAAAAATC